AAATGGCAACCCAACAAAAAAAACATTTTTCTCATGAAGGTCAAGATCTAAGGGATTACAACTATCTACTTTATATTAAATTATTTTTTTACATATGTACATCGCAATTTAGACAACAAAAATCGAATAACTCAAAAACAAAACAAAATTTTGTTCTTAAAAAATCATTTTTTTATATTAATTTAATTTAAATTAATTATTATTTTTTGGAAACAAATGATTTAAAAAAAAACCGCTTGGTTCAATACTTTATATTCACCCAGTATAAAACGAATTTAAAAAGAAAACTCTCAGCAGGGAACTAATTTTTTGAGTTTGGCTTACGAATTACCGGTTGTTTTCTCTTTAAAATATTTTGTAATCGGATTATTTTTCTTAAACTGTCCAATTTTTAACTTGAACTGAAATCTTTAATCGGAAATTAGTGATTTAAAGAAAATATGCACAAATATGCAATATTTCCTAAAATATGTACCAAATTGCCAAAATATGCATTTTTTTTAGCTTATTTTAAACAAAAAACATTAGATATGCATAGAAAACTTACAATTTTGTTGTTGTCTTAATGACAAATATGCATCTTGCATATAATCCGAGCCTTAATAATCAATCTAGCCAAATTTGGTACAAAATGCAAAATTATGTATAAAAAGCTTCATTTTCACTTATATTTGATAAATTTAATAAATTAGAAAGAAGACAAGTAACTGAATTGACTTTAAAATAGGTTGTTTTATTACACCAAGAGCATTTTTCACTTAAAAACAAGGCAGAAATTACAAAATTAGTTTTCAAATGCCTATTTTGATAAATTTACAGTGTTTTATCAAGAAATTCACTAAATTAGAGAAATTTTACTCTAAAAGTGTAATTTTTTTTTCTTTATTTAGAAAAACAAAAAGTTGAGACTATGATGACAAGGTAAAAAAACGATTTTATCGATATTAAAGAAAACTTGAGCTTAAAAAGCAATGAAACGTCGTTGACAAACAACAGATTATTACAGAAAATAAATTTTAGTCATATTTTACAATAAGCAGAGACACTGTCCAGAGGCGTGGCGGCGCAGTGACATAAAAGCAATTTTTTATTAAAAAAGAGCCACAAAAACAAAGAAACTATATATTCTGTCAAATAGTGCAAAAAATAGCGTTTTTTATTGAATATCGCAAAAATTTGAGAAATCTTGTTAAAACAAAATAAAAAATAGCAAAATTAAAGTGCTTTATTTGTATTTATTTTGCGAGATTCATCGCATTTTTTACTGCGAATCTAAATAAATGAAAAAAATTACTACAATAGTAGAAGAGAAAATTCCAGAGTCTACTATTTACGATTATTTTGATGAATTTTTAATTTATCTATTGAGACAATGCATTCTAGAAATTTTGCAAAATAAAGCACAATTGCAAAAGTATGTCCAAAAGACTTTAACACTTATTTAAATAAATTTAATAAATAAAAAAATTATAAGATTTTGCGATAACAAGGCAAAAATAACAAAATCAGCTTTCAAATGCGATATTTTTGAAATTTACAGTGTTTTATCAAGAAATTCAAACACTGTGTTAACTTTTCCAGGTGATTGCCACTTTACTATCGACCCTCCTCATCGACAAAACCGGCCGCAAGATCCTCCTCTTCGTCTCCTCGTCCATAATGTGCGTTTCGCTGCTCGCCCTCGGGGGCTACTTCCATCTGAAACAGACCCAAGACTTGGCTTTTCTCAGCGCTTTGCCTTTGGTCAGTCTCGCAATTTTCATCGTCGTCTTCTCCATCGGCATGGGGCCCATTCCCTGGCTCATGATGGGCGAAATTTTCACAGCTAAATCACAAGGAGTGGCGACTTCGGTCTCTGCGGCCTTTAATTGGATTATGGCCTTTACGGTCACCAATCAGTACCAGAATTTGAACGATTTGCTCGGTGTTGGGGGCACTTTTATGGCCTTTGGCGCAGTTTGCGCTTTAGGAGTGGTTTTTATCGCACTTCTAGTACCGGAAACAAAAGGAAAGGATATCGAACAAGTGCAAGAAGCTCTAATGCGTAATAATTGTACCAAAACGAGTCGAGTGTAGCTCTATTTATTGTGTTAATAAAGTTTCGATGGGTTTATTTATCGAATGGCTGGTGCAGTTGATGGCTCAAAGAGACCTAATTAATTCGATGGGATTTTTTGATGAGTTTTTTGCGCCGTCAAAGACCGTAATTAAAACTGATTAAAATTTGTGGGGTTCGGTCATGTTTTAGCCAATGTTTACATTTGGCGGACATTATTGTTCGTAATATTACAATCAGGTGCAATTACATTGTGCTATTGCGATAATTTCATATACAGGGTGATTATTAAAAGGACCGCAAGCGCTGTAGAATTTTTATTTAGGACCCAATTCAAAAATTAAATGGTTTATAATTCTAGAATTTTTCTAAATGTTACAGTATATTTTGGACTAATTAAATAAAAACCCAATTTTTTTCATAATTTATAAGAGATTTTTGTTTTTGTGCAATAAAAGTAGAACCACTTTTATTAAAAATTGTTGTTTAAAAAAATTGTTCGACCGTAAGTTATGTAGATAAATTTAAAAAAATTATAAAAAAAATTTAAAATATTTTTAACAAACAATGTTCTATAAATTCGTAGGTTTTAATTCATTTTCAGTTTTTCTTAAAAGTTATTGCTCTGAAAAATTAAAATCCGAGGAAAAATTATTTAATAAAGAAAAATAAAAAATGGCCTGTCTTTGCAAATTTGTCAATACATATTGTCGTTTTTAACAGAAATTTGATTTCTGTTAATGCTTGAGAGTGAGAGTTAAAAAACATTTTTTCGCAATTTGTGATAAAAAATCTACACAGAGTGATTTTAAAAGTTGTGCAGATATTTTAGAAAGTGACAAATTTAGTCCGAGAAGCCGTTAAAAAAATGTGTACAACTGTTTCCAATTCCAAAAAAATTTCACCAAAATTATACTTATTCTCATAATCCATGTAATTCCATTATTTTCAGATTAATTTCTATAATTCCAAATTAATTCTTGTATTTTCAACTGAATTTTTTTAATTCCAAAATAATTTCGTTAGTTCTAAGAAATTTAAAGTAATTTTACATTTGGCGGACATTATTGTTCGTAATA